TACGGTGGGGTCTCAACTTACAAACGGCTCGGCATACGAACGTTTCGACTTACGAACCACTCTCATAGGAATATATGGACTCGACTTACGAATTTAGATTCGAGTTACGAGCTCTTTTTTTCCTTTTTTTTAAAGCTAAGTCATCTTAGGTTAAAAGGAAAAAAGAAAAAAAATATCCCCCTCTAGTGGCAGAAGGCGGAATAGCAGCTTCCCATTGGTTTCTATGGATGAAAAGAGCAGATACGGATTAAATGGTTTTCAATGCATTCCTATGGGAAATGCAGATTCGACTTAAGAACTTTTCGACCTGAGAACTGCCTTCCAATACGGATTAAGTTCGTAAGTCGAGACCCCACTGTATGTTCCGCTGGGCAGCAACTTTAAAAAACTTTTTTTGAAGTGTTGTGAATGCAGCGCGCTGGGACAAATGTCTGCGTGTGCCCAATAGAAACGAGGCAGCCAGGCAGGCATGGAAGAAAAAACTCCATGGCAACGTTGCTGTAACTTTCACTCATTGAGAAATGTATCTCTGCTTGCATCAAGCCCGGCCGATATCCCGCCCCCAAGAGCCATATACCCCACCGTGACTGGTAGGTTCGTTCAGCTCCGCACACAAGACCGTAAAGTGCCATACATATCAAACCCGCGGGCCGCACTAACATTAAACTTTCATATTAAGGCAGGGGTCACAAACTATCATCCCGTGTGGCGCAATTGGCTAAGGCAGGGGCCACAAACTATCATCCCGTGTGGCTCAATTGGCCTGCGGGCCACAAGTTTGAGACCCCTGTTTTAAACCTATGGCCTGGCTCTGCATTGTATGTGCAAACCAAAGAAATAACAGCCACTGTTAAAAATACCCCAAAGATAGTTTTAAGCACTTGTTTGAGCTTTTCAGTTTACAGGTTCTGACAAATCTGTCATCATCATTCCAAGTGTGAAAGCAAGTATTTGTCTGGAAGCTGGTAATTTGATTATATGTACAATTTTGCATTTGATACATGGTTCTTTTTTTGCCACATGCTATACAATTAAACTGATGCATTTTCATGCATAGAACGTCTGTATTATAGATTTTTTTCCAAGCTGTGGGAGCTGCCATGTGATATATTCATAGGAAGCACCATAAAATTTTCAGTGATTAGGGCCACTAAAGGTCTTAATCTGGCCCTAAATGTGATTTTATAGTTTCTGTTTGTTCATGACACTAAGGAACATATCATGCTTTAATTAGTCCCTATCCTTAATCTCCACAGAAAATACCAGAGTGGCCACCACTTTGAAATCGGCTACAGATAACAATTTGAAGGACTTTTTAAGATGTACTCAATAAGACGTAACATTTTAAGAACGCACATAACATACGAAGAGCCCTGCTGGATCGGGCCAAGAGCCCATCTAGTCCAGCTTCCTGTATCTCACAGTGGCCAAAACTAGATGCCTCTGGGAGCACACGAGACAACTAGAAATTTGTCTCCTGATACGCCTCCCCTGCATCTGGCATTTTGAGATATCTTCCTTTTAAGCCTGGAAATTACACATCACCATCATGGCTTGTAACCTGCGATTGACTTTTCTTCCAGAAATCTGTACAATCCCCTTTTAAAAGCATCTAGGCTTTCTTTTGGAGCTTTGTAATAATCTCAGTACCTCTCTCACTTTCATAAACATACTTTGTCTCCTTTACAGCAAAATAAGAAAAAAAATAAACTACTTTGTGAAGGAGAGAAAGGGAGTGAGCCGTCCTCCTCTGTCAAAGGAGCAGAAGGAAGCACAGGATGTGTGGAGGGGATACTAGTAGAGGTGGAACAAGATGACCGGGAAGTGCAGGAGCATAGAGAAGTGTGTCTGGCTGATGAGAGAGGGGAGGAGCTTGATTTAATTGTATGGGAGGATATAAAAGAGGGTGAAAAGGTTGGAAATTTCAGAGTGGTGAAGAGTGAACCAGCCGATAAGAAAGATAGATCAGCCCAGACGGAATGGAGCATGGGACATGAAAGCTTTCTGAAGCTGCTCAAAGAGTTTCCGAATCTGCAGGTGGATGGACGATTGTTGCTGAGAGTTCGTCGTATGCGGTCAGGAGGTAGACCCCTTGGAATGGACTGTGGTGGTGTACCCATGCAATCAGCGTGGGGGCAGGCGGGTGATCCGTCCCAGTCCCTCTTTGCTTCAAAACCAGCGGGAGGGGGACTGGGCGCAACACCCATGTTGTGGGACAGTTTGCGCGGTGCGGACCACTCCGATCCGCCCTATGACCGACAGGGAGCGATTTGGTCCAGCCCCCCTGTAAGAAGGAAAGATAAAGAAATAACCACAAGAGTTCGAAGTTATAAGTTGTTACCCGAGTTGAGTTTAATGGATCCGTTTGAGCCAGATGAGTTGAGTTTGTTTACAAATAAAGCTGATTCTGTTCGAAAAGAACAGCCTCCTGTCCTTTTTCCCGCACTGTGACCCATAGTCACATACTTTAAAAAATTCCCTTGCTGTCCTTTTTCCCACGCTGTCAATGGAACCCCCCTTGGCAGAACCGACCCGTAGTCACATACTTTAAAAAATTCCCTTGTTTTCTAAAAGTAAACTGCTAAGGGAGAACAATGGAAGGGAATGGGCAGTAATGAAACTAAATAAAACCCTGCAGAATTTAGCAACCAGTTTCCAGGATTGTGACAATGAAAAAGAAACTACCAGCACAGCAAGACTGAACTTTATAAAACTACTAAAACGTACTGCTCAGTCGACTGATTTTAGTTACAACAGTGTTTTATTTCTAATGGGCAGGTAGGCTCCTTCAACTAGGTAGACTACCTATCCTCATTATTCGTTTCACTGCTCTCTAGTAATGGGAATGACAGATTTCCCACCAGTCCAGAGCAAGGTAGTCTCCCTGACATCACTCACAAGTGTGGTATAAAATTTTGGGTCAACATCCCAATCATATTTAATCTGGATTACAACTGAGTTTGACAGGGCGTCTCTCCACTAAAATGAGGAGGCATGATCCCAGTCCAGCAGAAATGTATGGATTCCCATGTGCAAACCATACCATCATTTTGTTTCACATATCTAATAGGCATCTAAACAGAAAATGCTATTTCTAGTGAAGAATGGTATAGCTCACTTCAGTAAAACTAATAGCTCTCATAATCATCATTATAATTGTCTTTTAAAAAGAATAGAATTATACTAACCTCCTTTGCATTTCTAAATCTTCTTGAGATGGGCCATTTTGCACTTGTGGAGCAACTTGTGCATTTTGCCGAGGCAACGTCAGACCTAGGAAAAGATACATTCTACTTCAGTTTTTTAAAATAAAATCACTTGTAAAGTCTATGGTATGTATTAAATTTTACACCGGATGGGTAACTCTATTAGAGTCAAAACCAGCAAGTAAATTTTACATTAGCAGAGGGATGGACTACATAATCCTTATGGTTCCTTCCAATTCTACAATCCTAAAATTCCATGAATTATGTGATCATAAGACAAAGTCACCAAACTGCTTTGACTAACGTATTTTATTTCCAATAACCCCATAAAATGTATACACCACACCATATAAACTGGCCACCACCCTCAATAACACTTAAAATATTTGTTTTAACAACTCCAAACGAGATTGAGACATGGACTGAGCAGGGAGTTGAATTTAAGAACCAGCCTTCACTTCCCTAAGAGGCCTGTGCACCTGTATTTACCAAGCAGATTTTGGGCTTCTTTAAAACAACTGTTTTCCTAAGCATATCCAGTTAAATCTTTATTTAAGAAGTATTTGGGAGTGGTAAAGGGCAAGGGCTGTGGTAAAAAAGAGTATTCTCAAATGGATCAGAGGATACTGAGAATCTATGTTCTCTAACTTTGCCCTGAATAACTAGCTGAATCCAAAACAATAATTAATTTATCAGCCACTGAATGCATTATCTCTACACTGCAGAGGTTTTACCAGTTCCACTCCCCTAGTCAGTATCCATGGCTGAGTGGGGATTCAACCCTGTTCTCTCAAGTCCTTGTCCATCACTCTCTCTACTACACCGTATTGCGAACTTCTTGCCTCCTGATTGAAAATAATACTGTAATTCTTAGTACAGTACTAAGGAGAACAGTTCAAACGCCTTGAAACACTGAAACAACAGACTGGTAAATCTTTTGTCTATAAATTGTTCCTACAGCAAACATGTACTTTAAAAAAGTATATCTTTGTATATCTTTCATTGTAGTGTATCATAATCTAACAGTATAAATATGAATTGCTTTAAAACAGCTCCTATACCAATGTACACGGTTGCCACTGAAATTTTATTTTTCATTTCCCTGACCAACATTTGTCAATTTTCCTGACCACCATTCAAATATAATCAGTTTAAAAATGAATACATTGTGCTGTCTTAATGAAAGGAAGATAAACACTGGTTAGATATTGTGTGGAAGCTTTATGACAATAATCGTTCCCAAAACGGACCACTAAATCCATCTGTCCCCTTTGAACTATCTTATTCAAAGTTTCATCAAATAGATAACAACCGTTTGGCACTGTTTCAGAAAAAGAGCAGAGAAATATGGTGCCAAGTCAAAAGCAACAACATACAGTGGACCCTTGACTTACGGAATTAATCCATATTGGAACGGTGGCTGCAGGTTGAAAATTCCGTAGGTCAAGGTTCCATTTCCCACAGGAATGTACTGAAAACCATTTAATCCGTTCCAGAAAGAAAAAAATCCCAGGCTTCCAAAATTGCACCTGCTACCTTCTGCCTCCTGTCCCCGCAAATAGGAACTTTCCAAAGCTGGGAAAGTTTCACTTTCACTTTCTGGTTCCAGAAAGTGTAATGAGAGGATAAGCAGCAAGAAAGGAGGTGGAGTTTAAGTGCCTGCAGATAATTTCTGCAATCTAGAGAAGCAGACAACCCTTATTTGCAACCTTTATGCATGGGAGAAGTCAGGGAAGAGGATGAGAGAGCTGGTACTCTGTAAACTCCAGCAGGAACAAGGAATCACATTTTAAAAATTTACAGTGGTGCCCCGCTTAATGATTACCCCACTTGATGATGAATCCGCTTTACAATGATGTTTTAATGGGCAAAATCCGCTTTACGACTATTGGTTCCCTGCTTCGGGAACTGATTCTTCGCATTACGACGATCAAAACAGCTGATTGTCGGGTTTTCAAAATGGCCACCGGCTGTTCAAAATGGCTCCCTGCTGTGTTCAGGATGTATTTTTCGCTACCCAGGCATTGGAAAATGGCCGCCCTATGGAGGATCTTCGCTGGACACTGAGGTATTTCGCCCATTGGAACGCATTGAACCGGTTTTCAATGCATTTCAATGCGCTTTTTTTATTTCGCTTGACGAGGATCTTTATATGTAAGTTAAATGCAGTACAAGAAGGTAGGGATTAAAACAGTTAGATGTTTAAAGTTTGTATCTTGCTCAATGTTTAAACTAAACTTGCTTTGCAAATGCTACCAGCAGACCCTGGAAATCATGCAGGGACAGAGCTCAAAAAACACATTAGGCTAGTTGATGGGGTGGAGCCAAGAAAAAGGTAGAGCTGGGAAAGGGCATCATTATGTTTTACTTGTATTCTGCTACTTCTCTATTCCAGTTGCCACAAGAAAAGATCATGCTCTTGCAGCAGCCAGTAAAATCCACTGCTTCAATATATTTTTAATCAGAATTTCTCTGATTTTCCCTGACTTCAGACCAATTTCCCTGACCAATTTCCATTTCCCTGACTTTCCCGAAAGTGGCAACCCTGACTCAGCTGTTAGCTATCCCAGCTGTCCACTACCCCAGAGAGATAAGTGATGTTTGTTTGGGTTTTCTATAGCACACAGAGTATAAATATGGGGAATAAATTGCACACTTGCATAAGGCATCTTATCCATGGGGGAAGAAAGAGCATGAAAAATAGAATGAAACTGATGCCAGGTGAACATTGTTAGAGCAGCAGAGAAGATAATGATGCGTCAAAAGAAAAACAACAACAGAATTTACATAGTTTGGCTGGGTGATCTCTTTTATATTTAGAAATGTTTTTCTGTGTGTCTAAACATGCTTATAGCTTAGATTTAGTGCTACTAAATGTAGGTAATGAAGGGGATAGATCTGGGGAATAGACTTTCTTTGCTGATTGTGGAGCTTCAACAACTATTTTATTATTACTTATGAGCTGTGAAATCTGATGCTCAGTTTTGAAGTTGGTACACACACAGTGAGTGACCATCTCCCTCTAATTATATCCCCATCCACTCAGAGTCAGGGTACCATGTGGATTATGGACCACAGGCAGAAACAAGAACATCTAGTGGGAGATGGTCAACTAAGGTGAAGTGCTGTTATATTATATGGCAGTCTCAGAGTAGGGGATTCACTTCTGACAACAAGATCCCCTAAAAAGGTGCTGGAGTTGTATCAGAAAATAGTTACATCTTTACAAAAGTATCTGATATGTAACAATTTGTAAGACTGAATGCCCCTTTTTGTAGATCTATATCTTGCTTTGACCAGGAATGTCTGGATATGAAGAATCTACTAAGAACTTATAAGAAATATAAGGAATCGAATTTGTCATTTTTACCACCTGACCGTTTTTTTTGCTAAAGAAGTATAATAAAAGACTAATTAATTTTTTTTTTTTTTTTTTGCTAAAGAAGAAGTATAATAAAAGACTAATTCAAGATAAAAAGGAATTGGCACAGAGAATGAATTAGCAAAAATTAATTTTTGCATCAAAGCTACACAATCCAGTTACTTTCTGGAAGATAGTTTCCAGGGGGCTAGATAGTAAAGTAGGTCCAGCAGATTCTTATATCCCTGTTAAGAACTGTGAAGTATATTTTACCAGTCTGTATGCTGCAAGACAGTCTGGGTACTCAATTCCACAAACAACATTCCATAATCTCCCTGACCCCCCTCTTCCCATTTCCGACACTAGTAGGCTTATTTCAAAGCTTAAAGTACTAAAGCATGGGGGAGTGATAACATCTCTCCTGAGATACTAGGAATTGGTGGGCCCAATTCCTAGCAGTGTTATTTACATGTATTGACCAGCTTGCATGTACAACAGAGGCATGGAGACTTTCTATTATTATTCCAAGTAAAAAAAAAGGAAAAAGATCAAACCTGAATTACAGGCCAATCAGCTTGCTAATATCGTCACTCAGTTGTACGCCCATCCTCTTACTGAAAAATTATTAAGCTGGATAGAAGGAGAAAACCTCTTGCAGGATGAGCAAGCATGATTCAGACCACGATACTCTACTGGAAATAATTTATAGTTCTACAGCATTGGATAAATATTCATCCACAACCAAGGAGGCACTATGCACAGATTTTATTAATTTTAAGTCTGCAATTGGTATGGTTCCACAAGGCAGGTTGTAGTAGAAACTAGGGACAAGTAACATTGATAGGCATCTGCTAATTTTGATTTACAGCCTCTGCAAAAACTTGGTTGAAAGCAAGATGCAACACAGTAGGGCCATCTCTTCAAAGCCATTTCAGCATATGCTAGTTTTAAACAAGACTGTGTTATAGCTCCCATTTTGTTCAATAGCTATATTCACTCTCTGTTAGAAGTCTACCTGGAAGAAATGTGTACCCTCCTGACTCAGGTAGAGTCTGTCAACTCCTCTGCATGCAGATGATGTGGTACTTTTCTCCATAACTTGTGTTAGCTTGCAGCAGTTATTAAGAACCGTGGGTAATTAGTATAATATTGAAAAGTTTGTAATTAATTACAATAAATCTAAAGTTCTCTGTTTACCAAGAAATACATCACACATAATTGGCAGATAAATGACCACCCAATTAAGCAAGTTAAATCTTACAAATATTTGAGAGTAACCTTTCAGTTTTCTGAAAAGTTCAATTATTTCATGTCACTGCAAATGCTCAGAGAAATACTGTATCAAGTCACTTGCTTTGTAAGTCGAGACCCCACTGTATCAAGTCACTTGTACCTTTTTTCCTTTGTCAAAGCAAGTCAGTATGAACCAACAACCATTCAGATGATAGCGTAGATGTTATACTAGCAAAACTTTATGCATTACCTTCAACTTTGCTGGAAGAAAGATTTAAAAATGTATCTTATGATACACTTTTTTGCCCTTATGAGGCTGGCATAGTGGAGACAGTAAGGCATGTATTGCTTGTTTTATGGCACAGTCTGTCATATTTTTATTTACAGTGGTGCCCTGCAAGACGATGTTAATTAATTTAGCAAAAAACGTCTTGTGAAAACATCGTCTTGCAAAACGCGGTTCCCCATTGGAA